GTTTTGTTTGTGTGTGTGTCTGCTTGTCTTCCCAACCCTTCACCCCTCGTATTTCTCCCTTTGAATTTTTTTTGTTTTTTTTTTTTCTCCTTTGCCGTAACCCCCCCCCCCCCCCCCCCCCACACACACACACACACACCAATATTGGTTAAAAATTATTTCTTTGTGCTTTTTTTCTAGAAGAAATAGTGCAAGGGGCTTTGAAATATCGCCATCTTGTCCTCATCCGGACCCCAAATTGTCCTTTAGTTCATGAAAAGCCCTCCGGAGTTGTGACTCCAAAGGACGCAGGTAGAAGCTCGGTGACGGTGGAGGAGTGGGGGAGAAACGTAGAAAGGGAGGAAGGCTCTTCTCCTCCTGCAGCCTGAGTGCGTCATCCATCACTTCTGAGACATCTAAAGAGGGTTTTCTAGACAGCTTTGTTGCAGTGAAACACCACGAGGAACTTGGCCTGCATGTGTGGAGCTTGATTCAACAAAGATTGATCCTCGCGCACAGTCCACTGGAAGAGGTTCACTTTTTTTTTGTTTTGTTTTGCTGTTAGGTTCATTATTATTTATGCATTTTGCACATGTTTGTTAAAGAAAATGCATTTATGAATTTTTCCCTCCCCCTTTCTCACATCGACTCATTTAGGCCACAATTGATGCAGCTTTTAGTGCACATAATTCTCCAGAAATATTTGAAATTTAGTTAGCAAACTCTATTTTATTTAACTATTTTTGACCTTCATGGCCAGGAAGTAGCTTTTTTTTATTATTATTGTTGGATACTTCCTAGTCCCATGTGTGTTAAAAACAGACGCACATGTCTTCCTTTTGTCCACTCAGCGGTGCAGAAAAAAAAAGTGGGGTGGGGGGATGTAAATCATAAAAGTCCACAATGTTGCTTCACAGAACTACCAACCGATAGTGTAAAGTGAAGCCTGATTAATGCAAATGAGTGGGCCCTATAGAAAAAGAAAACTCTTTAATGATTGCCTCCTTTGTCTTTGTGCAGCAATGACTGTCAAGCCTTTGTCTGACCACTCCCATTGAATAGAGACAGTTACAAGCATATGGTATTTAAAGGAGAATCCCGCCAATTCATAATGTGCATGCGATGCATTTGTTGCAGTTACCTGAAATAATTCCATTGGTTTCGTTTTAAAGTCTGGTAATCCCTTTAATGTCGATAAAGACGCACCATAAAAACACGAGATTGGAAGCAGAATATTTATTTATTTATTTGACTGTAAAAATAAAAGTTCACAGTGAATTCCCCTTTAACATATTTATCTTTTTAAAAAAGGCTTTGAGAAAAATGTTGCGTTCAGTAATACACGTTATTCTGTCGCGTCTTAACAAAAACTCTGCTTTTTTTTGTTGTTGTTGTTAATTAAAAACCTACCGCAAACCAGCTCGAGATGTCGCGACTTCTTCACTTCTCGTCAGTGGTTTACAAATAATAAAAGCAAGCTGCTAATAAAAGAAGCGTCCTCATGCAGCACACGTGTAATCTTTGTTTGTCTCTCCCCTCCTCCTCCGCCTCCTCCTCCTCTTCCTCCTCTCTCTGCTTGTTTTCTCCCCCGCGTTCTTTCTCTCCTCTTCGCCTCATTTCACGTCTCTTTCTGTGATTTTTTTTTTTAGATTCCTAGATAGACAAAAACGCCGGGCTGCTCATAGGAATGTCTGACCAAACATTGCAAAAGCTTCTTGGAGCACACCAAGTTGCCAGCAACTCCGGAGCTCCGTCATTGGACGCATGGACCCACGTGACCACGGCACCCTGATGGTAAATATTACCCAAGTGTTCCACATGGTTCTACTCCAAATCCTCTCTCCTGCGTACCTTTATTCATTCTGAATAATTGTGATCACATATTGGGCACATCCTCATTTTTTTAGTACAGCCCAGGGACTTCTGTTTTTATTTGAGGCAGTTTGATGAGCTGGGTCCATGGACCCCCAACAGCGTGCTGCCCTCCCACTGCAGCTGCGTGGCAACAGTTCTGCAGTGAACTCTGGACAAGTGCCAAACCTGAGCTTGGGACGCAGTGAAAGAGGAGGAGGAGGAGGAGGCCCAGATGCAGAGCAGCAAAACTTGACCTCTACTGTGCCTTCCAGTTCCAGGTTGGACCCACAGCACGTTTCTGAGAGCCCACTGGGGCCAGTGGTTCGGTGCCAGACCAAGGGCAAGCTGGACATCAAGAGCAGGGGCTACAGTCTCACCATCTGCCACTCAGGGGTCATCTTTCCCTGGATGATGTCGCAGAAAAATGGCTCTGGACAATCTGGTAATTTGTTTTATTTATTGAATGATTTATGTATTTATTTGTGTATTTATTTATATGTTTGTTTATGTATTTATTTGTTTAAATATAACTATAAAACTGAGTGCGGACCATTTGTAAGACTTTTTTTAAAAACTGAACAGTTGTGCTGAAAGTAGAGAAATATTTGAGATTTCTTCTCCTTCATTCAGAGCCATGTATGTATTGTTTTATGTCTCAGTGCAAAGTTATATATATATATATATATAACTTTGCACTGAG